AGCACCGTATCCCGTCTGCTCTGCGAAGTTAAGCAGCCTCAAGCTCGGGTAGTACTCGGGTGGGTGACCACCGGGGAAGTCCGGGTGCTGTCTACCTTTTTGCTGGTATTTGCCTCACACACACACACTTTTGCTTGTTGCGTTTGACGAGTTATAACTTTTGCCCCAGGGCGAATTGGAGAGTGTTACTTTGTGTGGGGGTACATCAGACGGTGTACTACACATATATGTGGGGTGGTCCACTCCAACTCCAACAGGGTACCATATATGTGGCACACCCACTATTTTAGAAGTTCGTTTATACTGGCTTCCAGTATGGAGTCTCACCTGACCCCGGCATCGGAAGGGGGGTTCTGAAGGGTGCTCTTTCAGATGCCGGACCGGTAGCACGAGAACGGGCAGTCCTACCCTATCATACGGCATGGGGTTATGCACAAACAGGGTTTGCTATGTAAAAGGGGCAACATGAAGTGACTCGTCTCTATCTCCGGGTGGGATATAAGTTTTCGAGGGTGCCCTTTCATGTCCCGACCTCGGATCAAGAGACGGGGCAGTGGAACCCTCTCAAACTGAATATGCTTTTTTCAGGTGGTATTCTGGGCACGCTCTAGACAGGACACATGTGAGTGCCCATCTGGCTAACCCGGTGGGATATAGGTTTTCGATGGTGCTCTTTCACGTCCAGGGGTCGGGTAAGGCCAGATGTTATGGGAACACTGCGAAACTTTATAATTTAAAGGGAATTTTATGTTATCCAGAACCACTTTAGCCTCGTCTTTGTCGAGCTCGGTATAGGGGTATTTCGACCCGCTCTTTCACGTGGTTAGGTCAGATTTTATGTACAACCCGTACTTTTTATGTTACCGAGTATTTTTTATGTGACATATGTTTCAGATGCGCGCGAACGTGAGAAAGCCGAATCTGAAAACAGATGTTGAAAATTTTAAAAATTCGAAAAGTTATTCAAAATTTTCGAAAAAAGCTAAAATTTCGCACACGTTTTTGCCCATATCTCAAAAACGGTGCATTTTCAGCCGGAGCCACTATGCTCATTGGATTCCCCGCGCGATTTTACGTCTAGGGGGCTAGGGTTACAAGGCTGAATCGAAAGTCGGTACTTTCGGATTTTGACATGTGAGCTATCCCAGAACCTCGAGTGATCTTGCTACTTGACATCGGTCGTCACCCCGGCCCAAAAAGTGGTACCCGCAACACCGATTAGTCACTTCCCGTGCACGTAGCCCCGCGAAAATTGGTGAGCATATACTTCTAACTATAAATTTTCGAAAACTTGAGGGTAGAAATGTGAGCCTCCAAAATTGAATAAAAAAATTGAGTATAAAGTTTTGAAAATCCCAAAAATTAGAAATTCTAAATTTGAAAGTCTAAATTTAGAGTTAGGTCTCATGTCTTTGTACATTTAGGGGGTTTTCTTTGCGCTCTTTCCGATGGGCTAGGTGGCAAATCCTAGTTCCTAAAAATGAAGTCAGTATTCTAAATTTACTACTAAGCGAAATATCACAGTAGGTATTGACATTTTTCAACATATCTTTGTACGGGCAGGTGCCTTTTTTCACGCGCTATCCGGTAGTATAAATTCCAGGTTCGAAATTTGACATTAAATTTTTCCGAAATTTTACAATAAGGCTATGTCCCTTTTATGTCCCACCCAGGTGTCTAGTTTTTGTTCCCACGTGTGGCCAGTCTCGTACCACACCTGGTGGTACCGGTCCGGCCTTCTTAATCGAAGTGGTTGCCGAGCTAGGGGCCCGGGAGTACAGGGAGAACGTTCTATGTACCCTCCCTGCGTCCGTGCTCTACCCCAGGTCGATTGCCCTTTCTTGGCCAAACAAAATGCCGTATCACACTCTGACTGAGCCCAAGTCTGTGCCGAGCTATGGCGGTCCAAAGTTGGAAGTACCGTTTTTGTTTGCTCAAATCATCCCATCTCGATCCTGAATCATTTCCCCCATCTTTCCTCTTTCTAACGGTATGCCGACCAGGTCATAACTCGGTGCCGTTGCTGAGATATCGGGGGAAGTAGTCGTCAATGGCCCGGTTATGGGCACCATATGGCTCCAAAGCTGCCCGTTCTCGCATCCCACTGCGTATCTAATGTGCGCACCTAGCCTAAGTCCGTCTGTGGCTGATGTGGACCACCGCTGATTGGTGTGGCGCACCGCTGTTTGATGTCGCTCACACCACTGATTGATGTGGTCAAAATCTTTCTAAGACATCAAAACCGTTACTTGTGACAGACCACGTAACGGTCAAACCCATCACTCAAATTTAGTCAGTTTCTCTCCCGCACGTGTAACCGTCGCTTGGTCAAAACCCATCAGTCTACTATTTTTTTCGAACCTTAGCCAACCGCAAGATTACACTGTGGAATGGCGGTTTCAGGGGTTTCGTGAAGTGCTAAAAATAGATAGAAATGACGGTTAGAAACGGCTGAGAGGGGTTTCTAAGCAGATCTGTATGTTCTAGATTGCTTCCAAAT